GTTGTTCTGTGATCTTGGTGTTTGCGTCTCCATGAGGAGCCCACATCCTCTCGCTGTCCACCCTCTGCACAGACATAGCGTCGTGGTCCCTCCTACCCAAGGCTCTGATGTCCAGGACCGTGTCTTCCCCATCTTCCACAGGCCGCAGACATTCACCAAGTTCGTCTTCTGCAGAATGACTGCTGCTTTCCTTGGAGGCCTCATTGTCACTATTTCTCCCTATTATCTGCCTAGGATTTATACATCACACCTCATGCCTGAAAGGGGTGGCTAGAGTTTTGTTTGTCCACTCTGAACTCTTTCCCTCTCTTTGCTGTTGCGTGTAAAAGGACTCTTCTTGCAGGATGGTTGGGATTTTGTCTCGAGGACCCGGCCTATTAGTGTGCCCTCTCACCCTATGGCAGAACTTCGGCCATGCAGAGGGCAGCGCCTGGGCACCCTGAGGTTCCTTGGTGTGTTGCTTCTTTTTTTAAAAATTTTATTTAAAGAAAGACTAAACAAAATAGAAAATGGGTTGAAATAATACGTACTTTCAAAGAAAAAATAAACAGTAAGAAATCACTAGCTGATGATTACAGATTGTCCTCTTACAAATAGTTATTCAACATAATAAAGTGGGAATTCAAACAGTGAGACTCCAACCAGTTCGGCTCAACTATCCAACTAAAACTTAGAAATATTGTTCTCAATCCTATACACTTAAACCTACATGCAGTTATCCATATCTTCAATTATGTTGACATTCAACAAACTCAAGCAGGCTAATATCACTGAGAACAAAGAATAATACTACTACTACATTTCACATGCTGACACTCCAGGATCAGCATTTTGCGTCTCTTTTTCTTCAAAGTATCTGTTCATTCCATCATGTGTCATAAGATCAGTTCTCATAAACTGTTTATAGATTCTACACATGCATTAGTCTTAACATGTATTTCTATCCTTTCTATATTAGAGGGAGAAAAAATACAAAGTGAGACAAAACAAAACATATTCCAATAAACACATGAAATGAAAAAGACATATAAGACCGTTGTACAAGGAGTTCTACCATAGTTCCTGTGATGTCTCTCGTTATCTTCAATAGAATTGGCTATATCATCAGACATAGTATAATTAAATATATCAGTACATAATGATATTAATAATAACACAGCTTTGTATATAGTATAAAACTTCAAAAACAGGCATTTATCACACCAGAATGTGTGTCATAGAGTCTTGTCTTCAGTGTAGGTGCCTATACTCTCAGACTTGATACGATCGATCATATCACTTTTGAATAAAATCTGTCGATACCAAACAGCAATCAAACAAACAAACCAGATTTAATAAGATCCGTCATGATAAAACAGTATAAGTCACACATGGCTCCAGATTAAGATAATAGGAAATTAAAGATGATTACTGTGCTATATCCTGATGTTTTGGGGATAGCTGTCTGTGCCCTCAAATCTAATGCAAGTAGACAAACTGGAACAGAATAAAATCTATCTAAGCAGAGTGGTGCGAGTAATGTGGGTTTTAAATCCTGATATACTATTAACAGTATCTTCTGCAATCTTTTGTAAGACTCTCCCTCACCTTTCCCTTTCCCAGCGTACACTGTGCACTTTTGGGACTGACCAAGACCCTTGGTTTTAAATGGCGGTGGGCGGGGGGACACCCTGCTAATAACCTAAGTGAACCTTCTCTCTCTTGGACTTGATCTCTAATTGCATTCCTTTACCTATTAAAGCCTGTGTTTCCAACCTATCCACAAATACTGATCTAGTTGCCCGTATTACTCTCGGGTTCTATGTCAAATAGAGCATTGTTTTATCATATTTGATTTTCAATCCATGTACTCTTTTTCATGTTAACTATTTCCTATAAATAGCATTTCGGGGACCCTCCCTCCTGATCTACTCCACATATGGTTCTTTTTTTTAAATTTAGTGTATCAAGGACATCTATATTGGAGATGATAACCAACCTTCTCTACCTCATTTCTGTTATGCTCTCTTTTTGCCTTCAGTTGTCTGCTTATCTCCTTCATCCTGTTTTCTGCTCCATTCATTGAGGCCTCTCTGCCACTGTTCCTGGAGTCCTAGTACTTTTCTCTCTCTCTAGAATGCCCTGCAATATTCTCTGTAGACTTGGATTGGTAGCTGCCAATTTCCCAAATTCCTCTTTGTCTTCGAAGCATCTTGTTTCTCTATTAATTTCTAGAGACAGTTTAGCAGGTATATCAATCTGGGATGCAGGTTATTTTCTTTTAGGGCTTGGAATATTTCCATCCAGACTCTTCTTGACTTGATGGTTTGTGTTTAGAAGTTGCCGTTATTCTGAGGGGCCTTCCTTTATAGGTTATCTCTTTCTTTTCCCTAACAGCTTTTAATATTCTGTTCTTATATTGAATTGCAGAATCTTGATTATTATATGCCTGGGTGTGGCTCTGTTTCGGTTGTAGGTGGCTGGAGTTCTGTATGCTTCATATATCAGAATATCATTTCCTTTTCCTGTGCTTGGGAAGTTTTCCTTAATTATTTCTGTGAATAGACTGTGTAGTTCCTTTGTTGGTACCCCTGCTTCTTCATTCACATTCTTTATTCTCAAGTTATAGATCTTCTTGTCGTCTTCTACAAAGGCTAGAACCTGTGTGTTGTTACTACTTGTTTCCGTGTTAGTTTTAAAAAGTTTCCCATTCATAATCCCCCATTGCAATACTGTCCTCCAGTTTGGATAATTTATCCTTAGTTTCTTTCAAAAAAACATTTACCATCGTTCCATAGAGTTTTTTAATTTCCTGGTAATCTCTTTGAATCTGCTTCATGTATTCTAGATTTTCTTTATATTCTTCATAAAATGGTTCTCTCTTTGTTTGAGTTTCTCCCTTCTTCTGTCTGTCTTTTTGAGGGGTGTTTGCATCAGTTTTATTAACTTTCTTATATCTTGCTTTACTTGGCTAAATATTTCACTTTTGAACTCGTCTATTAGGTCCCGAAGGTATCTCTTCATGTTCACTGGAGCCATGTCTGATATTGCACGTTTGCTGTTCTCATTCTGCTTTGTATTTACCTGTGCTGGGTCAATGTTCTCAGCGTTGGGGACTTTTTGTTGTTGCTTTCTCTTCCTATCTTCTTTGTTTCTTCCAGGAGGCCCCAGTTTCTTTCTTTATTGGTTTCAATTCTTCTGAAGCACACTACCCAAGTGACCCTCCCCACTGCAGTGTGCTAGTGAGTTGCAAACAGGGGCAGCTTAAGGCTGGGCCCTCACCTCTAGATCATCAAGCTGCTGTGGCCTGCACTGTATTACTATACACCACGTCCCTTCCAGGTCAGTCAAACTTCTGAGGCTTCACTGTGTTAGTGCGGCTAGTGTGTCCTGCCACTGTAGGGAACTGATTTTGGGGATAACATATTACGTCTCAGCCAGGTCGTACGACCCAGGCCTTGCTCGCTCCACCAATCCCGTTCGGGTAGGGAACAACTGACTGAAGTCACTGCTGCCCCTTATATTTCCCAGTCCTGCCTGGTCCCTGAATGTCGTCTGCCAAAGCCCCCCTTTCTGTGGAATGGCTCCATTCCCATCACTCACCACAGGTTGATGCAGGCTCCCTGCCAGCTCACCTCTCCGTTTGGCTGGCCGACCACCGACCTCAATGTGACTGCACCTCAAGTGAGTCCAAGTGCCGGGACCTCGGAGGTTTAGGCAAGTCGCCCACTTAGCAGGAGCACTCAACATGTAGCTGTTCCAGTAGCAGCATGAGGACTGTATATTTGATTGGTTCTTCTTGGAATGAGAGAATTCATCTCCCTCTATTTGGGACTCCCCCACAGTGTATTATGTTGAATTCTAAGTTGGCTATCTCAGGGGGCATCTGTAGCCAGTTGTCATCTATCCGCCATCTCTACTCAAATCTCGTGTTCCTTCTTTCTCTTTCCCGTGCCTCGGCCTAGGATGTGACCCTTGCGAGGTTGTTGGTGCGGTGCATTTCTATAACGTCATCTCTTTGGTGTAAACATTCCTGTGATTTTCACCTCCCTAGGTTTCCTCCCTAGATGTCTTGTGTCTGTAATGGCTGATATATTGTGTCAGCTTCAGAAACTGAGAAGTTTAACTATGCTGCTCAGCAGGGCTCAGGGCACTCACCCTGTAAACATCCTCACCCTGTGCAAGAGAAGTGCAATGGGATGTCTTGAGTGCTGCCTCTGCTCTGGGAGCGGGGAAGCCCTCTTCCAACCTAAAGGAGGAAAAGAGGCTTCCTCCTCTCCCACCACCACTCCTGTATTTTTGTGGCCTTTGCTGTCTTCTGCCACCTTGAAGTCTTGCCACTCACCGTGCCATCCTGCCCTGGAGCCAGCTGATTACAGACTGAAACCTCCACACACTATGAGCTAAATAAACCTTTCCTTCCTTCATTTTGGACATCTGGTATTTTGGCTCAGCGATCAGAGAGAGAAACTAACACAATGTCCTTTTCCTCCTTATCCTTAATGAATGTGCTGCCTTTCCTGCCTTGAATACAGGGAACCAGTGATGACTCCAGAGTGATCCCATACCCCGGGAGGCTGGCAGCTCCTCTTCCATCTGCTCATCCCGATATGGTGGCATCTTCCCACCTGTCCGTGTGCCCGCTGACTTTCAAGTGATCTTTACTGCCGCACTAGGCACTACATTCTGTGCTGAGTGGCTCGGGCAGTGTGTTCTGAGGCTTAGGGACATTTTGAGCACAGGTCAAAATTCACCAGGTCCAAGCTCCCCAGCGTATTGACTGCCCAAGTCCCAAGTGACAAGGTCTTCCCTCTGCCTCAGCCCTGAGCCTCCAGGACTCCACTGCTCCCTGGTGCTCTGTCCTGGACATGGGCCTCACTCTAACCCAGTGACTCCAGAAGAGTTAGCCACTGTCCCTTGTGACTCCTCAGGTAAGTCCCTAGCTCCCAGGAACATCCATGGCCGGAGGAGACCCAAGTCCGCCCAGATCGTGTGTCCCTATCAACACGAGAGGCAGAGAATCAGGTGATGGGAAGTTTATTGATTCTGTGAGGAGCTGACAGGGTGAGGTTCAGGGCAGGTGACAGAGCTGAGGACAAGGGAGGGAGGGGTCAGAGCCGCACAGTGCACATAGTATGGGCCCTGTCCTCAGGGGGAGACAGCAGCCTGCAGTCCTGGGTCACGACGAGGCTGAGAGGGGCAATGAGGTGCCTGGCCATAGGGTGACCTAAGCCTATTGTGGGACAAGGCCTTCAGCAGCAGGACTTCTGGCCCAAGGAGAGGCCACAGCAGGCGGGGCGGGGGCAGGCGGGGCGGCAGAGCAGGGACACGCTGGAGGATGGGCGGCAGCAGCTGGGCTGGCAGGACGAGGTGCAGCAGGAGGAGGAGGGCAGGCAGCAGGCGGGTCTGCACACGGGGCGGCAGAGCAGGGACACGGAGGAACAGGAGGGCGTGCAGCAGCTGGGCACGCAGCAGGCCGGCTGGCAGGGGGAGCAGGAGCAGCAGGCAGGCTGGCAGCAGGAGGAGGAGGCACCGGAGCAGACAGGTGTGCAGCACACAGGCTTACAGCACACAGGTGTGCAACAGACAGGTGTGCAGCAGGCAGGTGTGCAACAGACAGGTTTACAGCATGTGGGTATGCAACAGACAGTCTTGCAGCAGACAGGTGTGCAGCAGGCAGGTGTGCAGCAGGCAGGTGTGCAGCAGGCAGGTGTGCAGCAGGCAGGTGTGCAGGAGGCGGAGCAGCAGGCCAGCTGGCAACTCGACTGCTGGCAGCACGTGGGTGTGCAGGAGCTGGTGCAGCCTGACTGGCAGCATGGGGTGCAGACCAGGCTCAGGCAGGGGGCCGGGGCGCAGCAGCTGGGCTGGCAGCAGCTGGAGGTGCAGCAGGGGGGCTCGCAGCAGCTCTCTGGGCAGTCGTCCAGCTGCCAGGGCTCGGTGCATGTGCTGGAGCAGAGGGACATGGTGGAGGTGGCCAAGGCTGGGTTGGGCTGTGGGAGAGTGTGAATGAGTGAGTGAGTGTGAGTGTGTGTGGGGTGCTGGGCTCCGGCCTTTTATTCCTTCCCTGTCACCGTGTCCCCAGCTCTTCCTTATCGCTGACCTGTCTTGTTGTCATCAGAATGTTTGTTTTCAGTCTGTAAGGCTTGTTAATCTCCTGTTGTGTCTCTAGGAACAGGAGTGGGGTGACCTTAGCCATGTGATCTGGAGTGCTGAGGGCTAAGGTGTCAGTGGGCCAGCATCCAGGCCCAATGCACCCTCATTCTGATCCTGCGAAGCTCGGTTTGGGCTGTAACCACACAGCAGCTTCCCCCACCCCAGGCCACCTTCTATCAGTTGTGCCAGCTTCTCCCCCTGAGCCCAGCTCTGCTGTGGGCACCACTTTTCATGTCTCTGTTAAATTACGCCCACAGTTTGGCACAGATGCAGTCCATAGGCTCCCCTCCCGGTGGTTGCCCATGATGGTGTCTCCAAACCCGTCACAGCCTTCTCACCAGTCGGCATGTTGGTCATGGTTCACCTTTATCCTCGAAACACATCCATGTCTTTGTCACTACAGAACTAGATGTGCTGTGAGTTGTCAGCTGGGACTCACTCTGTTACCCTGAACCTGGCAGAGCTGAAACCTGAATCTCACTAATACTGGGGACAGCCCCCGCCCACTGGGGTGACTCCATGAGACACAGGAGCACTCTGCGGCCGCCTGCTGCACCTGGTGCAACCTACCGAGGTGGTCAGAAGTGGGAGTGGGTCCCCACGGCTTCCTGCAGCCTCCCATTTGGCTGTGGCATCAGCCCCCAAAGCGGCTGCTGACTCTACGGGACACTGGCCCCAGAGCCAGGGAGGCTCATCACTGCCGCCCACACCTGTGCCCAGCACTGCAGAGGACACAAGGGCTACAGCAGGGAGGAGGGACTCAGGCAGGGAAGCCTCCCATACGGTCCCTGGTGTCATGAGAGGCGAGAACTCTGGGCCCCAGTTAGGGAGATTCAGCCCCGTCTGGTGTGGCACCTGCTGTGCTCGGCCATGGACAGTGCATTGGTCATCACCGGCCTTCTTTCCGGAGCTTCTGTGCTCTTCTGATTTGGGTCTCTGCTGCTCCCTGCTCATGCTCTCCTCACCTCCCACATGAGGGGCATCCTGGGGGCGACACACTGTCTCTTCTTGCATGGGACCAGCAGGGGCTCACAGTGGTGGTGACACCCAATAGATCCTGACAAAAATAGCTTGAAAAGAATGAATCTTTTTTGGTAAGGACATTTTGAGGTGTAAATTTTTAAAAATTTTTGTTTGTCTCTGTCTTTTTTTGGGAAAGGGTCTCGCTATACTGGGCAGGCTAACCTTGAACTCTGAAGCCCATGCTGGTCTCCAGCTTACACGGATCCTCCTGCCTCAGCCTCTCCAGCCCTGGGATTTCAGGGGTGCCCTACCTCACCTGGGTGAAGTTTGGGTTCTGAAAATGATTATTGGGGCCACCCTTCCTCGTACAGTGTGAACCGCTCTGCAACGTTGAGCTCCCTCAGGGGAGTTGGCTTGTTCATCCTGGCTGCCTGGTGGACCAGGATGAGGACTCTTCTGGGTAACAGCAGCAGGAGGCTCAGGGCGGTGGACCCCAGAGAGACCAGAGGCACTGGGGGAAGGTGCCAGGACAGAGTAGACTCCTGGGGACTCCCTCCTGGCACCAGGTCACAGCCCAGAGGCTGCGGGGCTGAGCAGGGCTTTTGGTCTCCTCAGAATGGCAGAGAAGTGAGAGCACAGGACCTGAGGAGACGGGCAAATCTGCTGAAGCAGCTAGAACTTTAATTCGATCGCAAACCCTGGATACTAGTGGAGCGCTGGGCCCTGGGGGGGGGGGGGCGAAGCAGAAGTAAGCTGCACCCATCCCTGAGGCAGCACAGGCTGCACGCAGGAGGCCTCCCATAGCAAAGCTGTCTGCTGGAAACAGCGGCTCGTCCTCCCTGGAGCCAGGAAACATTGACAGAGACTCAGATGACCTTGGTATATTTTCATTCCCTGCTTCTTCCTTTATGTTACTAGGCTCTCAGTCGGTATTACCAGGCACACTAGAAACATGAGCAACTGCCACAGGACTGAGACAAAAGCAAGCATTGCAGACAGGCCTGCAGGAGACCTCGATGTATGCATAATCAATCTTTTGCTTAGAGAGCTGTGGGGGTTTCCTCTCAGGAAAACTAGGGGAAAGTTGGACGATTTCAGAGGCAACTTGGATTCCATAAAAAAGAATCAAACATAAAGTTTAGAAGTGAAAAACACAGTGAGTGAAGTCAGAGCAGAGCAGGCTCAGTTAACAGCAAAGTAAAAACAGCCACAGAGATTAGTGGAGGATGGGAGGGAAGGAGATATGGAGACTAAGCCCTGAGAAGGGAGGCGATGGAGAGGAGGAGCAGAGCACCACACAGGAGGGACCCGCCGGGGAAATGGCTCCCGTTCTAGGAAGAGGACGTGAGTGGGGCTGTAAAGATTTTCAGATAAAATAGCGCTTTACATGGTCAGAGGGCATTGGCTCACAAGTGCAAAGAACGTTCCAGAAACCACAGCCAGGCACATTGAGGCTGGAATCCAGGGACAGAGGAAAAGTGAAGAACAGTAGGGGGAGAGAACAGAGACCCAGCGCCTCAGGAGACAGTGGCCAGCAGGCATCCTGGTGGGAAGCCGGAAATCTGAGGACAACAGGTTGTGTCTCTGTCATCTGGAAGAGGGTGAGCACCAAGCTGGGGCTGCCCTTGTGAGGGTGTCCTTGGGGAGAAGGAGAGAGTCCTGGCTGTCTCAGCAGGGGCCGTGGACAGAACAGGTTGACAGCAGGATCTGAGCCGAGCACAGTGCCGAAAGGAGCTTTGAGGCAGGAAGAAAATGAGAGTTGGAAGGCAGGACAGCGACAAAGCACTAACAGAGTGGAAGAGGCTGCACACACTCACATCTCATGAACACAGACTGCACCCATGTCACTTTGTGTTTACAGAAGCAGAACACATGCACTAAGCCCATAAAACTCAGGAGGAGCCTATGTTGAATCTTCAGCATCGAGGACCTCGGGGCATCACAGAGATAAGAGTGAGTGGACCAAGGACATTGAGCAACTCAGTACCCAGACACACCTGGCCTCAGGCCCTCAGGATGTGGTCTCAGAAATGAGGCAAGCCATTTCAGTTCTACAGTAATGGCTGGAGCCTTTAGTAAGAGGCTCACTGATCTCAAGAAATGAAATAATAGCACTAGATCTGAGTTCAAAAGGAAATAGAGGATTTGAAGAACACTAAATACCAGTGAGGAACAACAGACTCGTACAAAACACTCTGCAATCGCAGCAGGGCACAGATTCCTCTCCAGGGTGGAACATTCTCCTGGTGTTAGGGCGCAGATGAGACTCAGCCACTGTAAAACAATTGAAAACATAGAGTAGCTTGTCCATCAAATTGAAAGAAACTAGAAATTCCAACAAATAGAAAATCAGAATTCACAAACACAAGGGAATTAAACAACACTCAGATAATCACTGGGTCAAAGAACTCAAACAGAAGATGTAACATGCTTTGAGGTGAATGAAAAAAAATATGACAACCTAGAGCCTGTGAGACACAGAAAATCATGTACCCAGAGGGAGTTTTATCTGTTTAAACTTTTACTTTAACAAAAAATATCTCAAGTCAAGTGTGGTGGCACACTCTTGTAATCCCAGCAGTTGGGAGGCTGAGGCAGGAGGATTATTGAAATTTTGAGACCTGGGCTAAAAAGTGAGCCCCAGGCAAACCTGCATTGCACAGAGAGACCCTGTCTCAAAAAGACAAAAACAATCTCAGGTCAAAAATTTAAGATTATGCTTGAATAAACTCTAACAAGAAGAGCAAACTACCCACAGAAGAAAAGAAGAAATAACAGACGGGTAGACAAAATAGAGGATAAAAACAATAGAATCAATGATGCCAAAACTTTGGTTCTTTAAAAAGACAGACGGAATTGAAAAAAGGCTTCAGCTTCACTGATTGAACAATAAAAGTATAGGAAAATCAGCACTGACCTGACACAAATAAAGAGAATTGTAGAACAATAGTGGAATAGGGTCAACAGGACGAGATGAACGAATGCCAAAGCGCATGAATGGCGCAGCCTGACATCTTTGCTCTTCTCTGTGTTCCTTCCTGTGGCTTCAGGCTACTGTCTGGAGCCAGTTTTTTTCACCCTGGATAGCATTTTTTGCAAGGCCGGTCTACCAGCAATTCACCTCTCAGCTCGTGTGTATCTGTGAATGAGTTGTGCTCACTTTTGTTTTGAAGGATTATCTGGGGAGAGGTGAAGTCTTCTTGGGTAGGAGGGGCTCCCCGTTACGGACTCTGAATGCTCCATCCCACTGCTCTCTGACGTGCAGTGTTTCTGATGACAGTCAGCTGTTAACTTCTCTGAGTGCACCTGAGAGTCTCTGTTTCTGACATGCGATGGTTGGATTACTGGGTCTCCATGGAGCTTTCCTTGAGCTTATTCTGCATAGGATCTATGCATTTCTCAAAAGTCTAAACACATGTGTTTTACTATAATGAAGGTTTTGGTCATGGTTGTTTCAAATTGTCTTGCTCTTTCCTACTTCTCTCCTTCTGCCTTTCCCGATAAGTGCACATTGGTACACTGAACGGTGTCCCACAGGTTCTTAAGATTTATTTACTCCTCTTCACTTAAAAAAAAATCTGTTCCATAGGCTAGTGTTTTCCAGGAGTCTTCCTGTTCACTAATCCTTCTATTTTACAATCTGTTCAAACTCTTGAGTGCATTTTCCAATTCAATTATTGTACTTTCCCATCCCCAAATTTTCATTTGATTTTTTTAATAAATTTTTCTCTGTATTGACATGCTGTATTTGATGAGACCTTATTCTCCTGGCCTCCTTCATCCTTTGTCCAAGGGACTGCCATTTTTCTAAGGGAGCTTTGTAATAACGGCTTTATTCTTCATTGTGGTCACCTCTCCATTCACTTAGTGCTCAGTGATGTGACAGAGTTAAACCTTGTGGTCATGGCCTGAGCCATAACTGTTCCCCAAAGGCCGTGTGTGAAGTCCTGGTCCGCAGCCTGTGGTGCTGGGGGGCAATGACAGAACCCTTGGGAACTGAGCTCTTGTGGGAAGAAGTCAGGTCATCGGGCAGTGTCCTTGAAGGGGACACTGGGAACCCCCACTTTCCTGTTTCTCTCCTGCTTCCAGCAGCCCTGGGGTGAGCAGCTCTTCTGTCCTACACTCACACTTGGATGTTTTGCTCAACACACCCATGGAGTGAAGTCTCTGAAACTGTGAACAACAGTAAACATTTCCTCCCTACGAGTTGTTTACCTGGAGTGTTTTGTCACATGATGGAAAGCTGAGTAATACAACTGCATATAAAAATATTTTTCCTCTGGGTTTATTTTTCCTTGAGCTTTAAACGCATTCTCATGTTGAGCACACCCACACTCGGCAGGACAGTTTACATCTGCTTTCCTCTGCACTTTTTGCTCAGCCTTCACTTCCTGCTCTGACCTCATCTCCTGCACACCTCCACTTCCTGCTCACACCTCCACTTCCTGCTCACACCTCCACTTCCTGCTCACACCTCCACTTCCTGCTCACATCTCCACGTCCTGCTCACACCTCCACTTCCTGCTCACACCTCCACTTCCTGCTCACATCTCTACTTCCTGCTCATGTCTTCATTTTCGGATTGCTCAAAGCTTGAATTTCAACCAGATGATCAAGGAGAGCTGCTCATGGTTTTTCTGAACATGTCTCCTCCTTGGAGTTTTAGACTTTCTGGAACATGCAGGATCTTTCATAGACCTCATTTCCCAGAATGGCTCATCCATCATCAGTTTTTGCTCCCAGCCTCTTGTAGTCTCCATTGTTTTCCCGGCCAACAGCTTTGGCCCTTGGGGGGTTGGTGAGCTCATTCATCTTCAAGCCTTCTGACCAATACTCTTTGTGTACCTACTCTATGCTGTGAGCAAGACCTCAGTTAGGAGAAACTGAGGCAGGTGGTTTGTGTGATTCTTCAGGGAATTCCAGGCTCATGAAGAGATGGCCATGCTTCCCTGGAAATAAAGTCCACCTGACACTCTGACCCCAGCACCCGCTCTACACCAGGACCTGCACTGTTGTCCAGGTCCACATCCAGCTAGGACAGGGGCGACAGAGGACAGAAATGTCAGAGCCCGGCTGAGCAAGCTGGCTTATGCTGGCTTAACTTCCCTCTCTGGAACGCAGCGCTCCTCAGCCTTTTGGTGCCAGGAATATATTTATTGGAAGAGCTTTTCTACACCCGCTCAACAGGGTCAGGGTTAGCTTCACACAGGGATACACAGCCCAGACCTCTGGTGTTTGCAGTTTATGGCAGGGTCCTGGCTCCCACCCTGTCAGGAGGCAGAGCACAGGCATCGATGGGAGCCTGGAGCAGCTGTAAATACAGGGGAAGTCACACCCTAGGCCACTGCTCCCTTCTGCTGTGCTGCCCGGATCCTAATTGGCCGTGGACTGTTATCAGGACTCTTGAATGTTTTCCACAGTTCAATCCACTTGCCACGGATTTTTGTTGTTTGTTTGTTGCTGCTTTTGTGTTTTTTGGCAGGGCAGGGCCTGAGGCATCCCTGCTCCAGGGTTTCCTCCGATGTCCCTCTGGGATGACTGGGGACAGTGCTCTTAGGGGTTGTGGTCAGCACCACTCAGTAGTGAAAACTGGTCAATCTTTACTCAGGAAATTCCCCTTCTGAGAGTCCTGGCAGCAAGAAGACTGGCACTTGTGCCAGCAGGCCCATGAATAGGACACTCACTATGGTGTTATCCCCATCAGTCAAAACCAAGATTCCAGTGTGACCCTGCACTGCCCAGAGCTTGCTGAAGAGCTATGCATCATGGTGAAGGTAACCGTGTTCCCCACTCAGGTGGCAAGGAGAGAGCACTGCGAAGCCCACACTGTGGGTGCCATGACACCCACTGTCATGAAGCACACTTGGGACCCCTATGGGCAGTGCAGTGATGGTCACCTGGCCACAGGCTTTGCTCTGCCATTGTAGTTTGAGCTAGTGCTCTGAGATTCACTCAGGTTGGTGGAAATGCACCCGGGCACACCTGGACACACGTCCTCATGTGTGCCCTGCCCAGGGACATGTTCTTTCCCCATTCTGGGCTTCTTCTGCCATTTGTCCCCATCTAGCCTGCATCTGGGGACTTCAAGGCTGCATCTTTATCCTGTGCATGCTGCACGTGGAGTAACCTCGAGTGTGTAGACTGTAGCCCAAGACACCCACCCATTCCGCATTGGGCACCCTTGGGTCCTGAGCCAGCTGAGGCCAGCCTCTCCCTAGTCTCCCACTTCCAGCTCAGCTGTGGCCCAGTCACCACATGACTCCTGGGACCTGGGGAATGTGACTATCCCTTTGGGATAGATGTCCCCCCGGCCAGGCAGTGCCCATGGGATGGTTCCTGGGCCTCTGCAGATCAGCAGAGCTGGCCAGGGGTAGATACAGAATGAGGGGATGGGGGCATCCAGGTCACACGCAGATGTCAGAGGGCACAGGGTCAGTGTCCAGAGCCAGGGACCAGGCCTCCACCTCTCCTATCCTTTGTGCCATCAACACAGAGAGTCAGTGTGGGCAGCGGAGGCTTTATTGGTGTTCAGGGACCAGCAGCAACAAGGTTGAGTCTAAGAAGCCCCACTCACCCAGGAGGGGTATGGTTGTGGCCAGAATGAAAGAATGGCACACCCTAGGCCAGGAACAGTGATGGGCAGAGCTGGTGAGGGCCTCGGGTGCCCATAGTGGTAGGCTGCTGAAGGAGGGAGGCACTGTGTGCAGGGAGGCCAGGGCATCCAGGAGCTGAAGGAGGCGGGACCTGAGCCTGCTATCCCTTTGGGGACGAGGCTAATTAGCAAATCAGCAGCAGGACTTCTGGCCCAAAGAGAGGCCACAGCAGGCCAGGCGGGGGCAGGTGGGGCGGCAGAGCAGGGACATGGAGGAGCAGGAGGGTACACAGCAGACAGGCTTGCAGCAGACAGGCACACAGCAGGCCGGCTGGCAGGGGGAGCACGAGCAGCAGGCAGAGGGGCAGCAGGAGGAGGAAGCCCCAGAGCAGTCGGGTGTGCAACAGACGGGCTTACAGCACACAGGTGTGCAACAGACAGGTGTGCAGCAGACAGGCTTGCAGCAGGCAGGTGTGCAGCAGACGGGCGTGCAGCAGACGGGCGTGCAGCAGGCAGGCACGCAGCAGGCCGACTGGCAAAAGGAGGAGCAGCAGGCAGGCTGGCAGCTCAACTGCTGACAGCACGTGGGCGTGCAGGAGCTGGTGCAGCCTGACTGGCAGCATGGGGTGCAGACCAGGCTCAGGCAGGGGGCCGGGGCGCAGCAGCTGGGCTGGCAGCAGCTGGGGGCACAGCAGGGGGGCTCGCAGCAGCTCTCTTGACCATTGTCCACCTGCCAATCAGTGCACACAACGGGTGTGCAGACCCGGCTGCCTCCCCCCAGGTTGCTGGAGCAGACAGATAGGGTGGAGGCGGTGATGACACACGTCCTGGTACAGCAGGTATCAGCCATGCTGAGCTGTGGAGGGGATGAGTGCTTGTGTGTGTGTGTGTGTGTGTGTGTGTGTGTGTGTGTGAGTGTGAGGTGCTCCAGGCCCCAGGTTTTATATCCCTCCTGGAGTTTTCCTCGTGGAGTTCACCTTCCCCTTCCTTGTTTCTCAGATTAGTCTCCAGGTAACCTTGCTCTCTGACTCACTGTGAGCACTGACTGCAACTGTGCCCGGGGCCCACGTGTGCTGGGTGGGGCTGGGCGCTGGCAGCTGCGTTGGTATCATGAAAATGACGCTCCCAAGTTGTGTCTGTGAGGACCTGGGGTGCCATGGGGAGCTGGTGGCGCCTGGGAAGCCTGCCCTCTCCTTCTCTGCTGTGGTTCTGTCACCACCATGATGCCTCTTCCACAGGTGCTCTCCCCGCACTCCTGCCACTACCTCTCCACTCCCCGATGACTGGCCAGGGGACCCCACCTGGGAGAATCACTCCAGCAGCCCCTCCTGTTTATGGCACAAACAGTGAACAACGTGCTCTCTGGGACCCCTTTAGTTTTCTGTCTTGGCGCTGACCTGATTTGTGCAGGATCGCCAGCCTCTCCAGGAGCCTCCTCTTCCAGCCTCTGAACAAAGCCCGTGGCTGAGTCTGCACAGTGGAGCTGGAATTCCTTTCCCTCCCTGTGCCCTTGACAGTCTGTTTCCCACTCCTGGAGCTAACAATGACTCTTGTTTGTTCCTTGGTTTTCTGTGTATCTATCATTAACTCCTCCGCAAACAGGCCATGTCATCCCTGAGCTCTCTCCACAGGTAACCAATCAACTCCCCTCCCTTTTGTGAACCTCTCCACTGTGTTCCAGGATCACCCCTGCAGCGGCTCTCCGCCTGCTGCCCACGTACTACAGATGCATGCTCCAGCCTCCCTTGCTACGGTCCTTGACATCTCCTCATCTCTGTCCTCTGACGGATCCTCTGGTGCCTGGACACCTTGCTGGCTCCCTCTGGATTCATGCTCCTTGTAAACGTGCAGCCTCTCATGGCTTTCCAGAAGCGGAGGCACGGAGCTACTGGTTGCTCTGTCTGGGATGCTTTGCTCAGCTAAGCTCAGTGGGTTTGGTCCTGGAGAGGAACTCCTTCGAGGTGCCTCGCTGGAGGTTCAGGACCCTCCCAGAGTCCTCAGGGCTGTAGGCATGGCCCCTCCCAGCCTCTCCCCTCTACCTCGGTCCCCATGGTCTCACGGGCCTGGTCTCTGTAGTTCTTTGTCTGTGGCCCCTCTGCTCCATGAGATGTCTACATTAAGTGAAGCACCATGCCACAGGCATGGCTCATCTGTGTGTGCGTGTGTGTGTGTGTGTGTGTGTGTGTGTGTACGCTCATACACACGCTATAAACAATTGTATTCATCCACAATGCATGTTTTTTATCCATTCTATTTCCCAATGATGGGGGTTTAGACTGTTTCAGATTAGGGACAAGGGTAACTTTGTTGCTGTAAAATTTCTTGTCCATTTTCTGGTTGGATATATGTACTAACTTCTCTTCATCCTACAGCCCAAAGTGGAATTGCTGGGTCACATAACAGGCATTGGTGTGGTTAGCATCTACTGCCTGACAACTTTCTAGAGAAATTCAGATTCCTACCAGGCAATTCTGTGAGCCCAGTCATCCTGTACCTTTACAAAACGAGATGCTGTTGGTCCCCTGTTATACCTACTCGAAAGGCATATGGGAGAGCCAACTTACCGCGTAACTTACACATTGATGACTAGCGCCCCACATTGATCCTCTGGGTGCTTTTCTTACAGGATTGGTCCCTCTCATTTGCCTGTTTTAGTTTTACATGCTTGTGTGTATTACATTTTCAGACACGAGGTGGTGGCTGTGTGGCACTGTCAGGTGTGGCTCTAGCACAAGGCATTTGTCCAGTTGCCCGTGAGTGGCGGGCAGGAGATCCCTGGGCACTGGCGGTGAGACTTCTCCTGGGACCTGGAGCAGGGCGCTGGGGTCATGAATGCTGAATGTGAGGGAAGTGGTGGCTGGGGCCTCCAGGGCTACTGTACTGTTCAGTCCCACCTAGGCATATGAGTTGCTTCCCCTCCTCCGTGTACCCCGGGCCTCTCTGACAGAAAGCCTCTGACCTGAGGCTCTCTGTGGGTGCACTGCGGTATTGTGTTCTTCTTGTCTCCCAGCCCAGCTGCCACTGGCTCACGGAGGACAAGCTGGCTTCTTGTTCTCCTTTCGGCCCGTGGCCACCTCCTTAGCTTACATTCACAGGTAATAACAACTGTGCACACTGATGGGGCATGGTGCAATGTTCTGATCTTTGTCTACATTACAGGAAATACGTCAGGCTGACAGCATATCATCTCACCAGTTTATCTTTCTGTGGTGAGGATGTGAGAAGCCTATTTTGCAAGGCACTCTGAGACAACAGGCCATTAGCATTAACGCAGTGAATTCCTGCTTCCTGCCCTCCATCTCTTCTTCCCTGCCCCTGGTATCCACCATTCTCTCCCTTTCAGGAGAGCAACATTCAGAACCCACATGCAAGTGGGACCGTGTGGTATTTGCCTTCTGCTTCTGGCTTATTCCACTCACTGACCTTCAGGGCCCTCCTCACTGTCACAAGTTTCCTTGTTGAGGTCACATTGTATTTATTCCACTATGGACACTTGCCACATTTCTTCGTCCATCCACTGTTGGAGGATGCTGAATTACTCCTCGTCAATGTATGCGGAGCACGGCAGTGAGCATGGAGGTACAGATGCCTCCTTCACAGGACAACTCCTGGTCTCTTGGGCGTTGTATCAGTCAGCGTTCTGTGACCATACCAAATTCTCAGAGACAATCAGCTCATAAAGACAAGGGCTCTTTCCAGCCCATCACCTTGGCCTGGGGTGAGAGCCTCATCCTGGTGGGCACTGGCAAAGCAAACCCACTCTCCTCACCATGGAAGAGAGTGAAGAAAGGAGGAACCCAGACCCCAGTGCCCCATCCGGGACATGTCCACCTCCAGTGGGCTCTTCCTCTTAAACATGCTTCCTCCTCCTGACAGGCTGGGGACCTACAGTCCGCACATGGCTTTGGGAGACACTGGAGATCCAGTTAGGGCAGAGAGGTTGCACAGCTGGGTCCATGAGATCAAATGCTGATTCTGCTTTTGGCTTTTTGCAAGGTGCCTGCACCCTATGACCTCCCTGCAGACACCGTACCGGGGACCTTCTTCCCTGCACCCTTGTCCTGTAACGCTTGCTCTCTTTAGAGACTTGGACAGTTGCCATCCTAACAAACATCAGGTGACAATTCCTCATGGCTTTGATTCACATGGCCCTGAGACTTGGCTCTCCTGCAAGCCCCTTTGCTAGCTCTGGGAGCCAAATTATTACAAGAGCTGACAAACAAGAGAGAAGCACATGAGTTTTATAGCAAGACAGTGAAGTCCAAGCAAGCGAGTAAAGCATGGTGCTCCCACACTTTCACATGGAGACAGTGACCAACGGTGGAAGATGGACAGATGGTCACCTGGGCAAGATAGTAGGTTCAGGGATATCGAAAGGGATCCATGGAGGATGTGGATGCTGGTGGAAGGTGATGCTGCTCAGAGTATGTAAATTTGGGGTCACTGCCGTGGAGCTGGGGTCACTGTCTGCAGCGTGGGTTTGGGGGAGACGCCCCGCCCCGATGGTCTCTGCTGCTTGTGCTACACAGAGGGCCAGACAGGCCCTTCCTGCTGCCCCAGAGCCTCGGGGTACTTTGGCTCAAAGTGACCAACTGGCCTTGCTGCCTCAGGTGGCCCATCCTGAGGGACTTTGGCATCATTCTGTTTGTCTCCTTTTGCTTCCATTACCAGCATTTTGGAGATGTAGGAAATCACTGCCCATAGCCTCACAGAGCTTCTCACCTACTTCCGCTGCTAGTTTTAGAGTTTCGAGTTTCTGTTGAGGTGTTTAGCCCATGTTTACTTATTTTCCTGTAAAGTGTGAGGAAAGGGTTCGAGTCCATCTTTTGCATGTGAATATCCAGTTTTCCCAGAGTTATTTATTGGCGAGACGACCTTTTCCCTATTGTGTGTTCTTGGCACCTTGGCCAAAAATCAATTCATAATAAATACCTGGGCTCATTTCTAGGATTCCTATTCCATTTCACTGTTGATTATTGGTCTCAAAGTCTATACAATGCTATCCTGATTATCTCAGCTTTGTGATATATTTTGAAATCAGCGGATATGGATCGATCGGGAGAACATGGCGGACAGACAACAGCAACTTCTGAACGCTCTCTAAAGGCTCGGCTCAGAGGCCAGGAATGATGCGGACTAAGGAGATACGAACCAGTAGAGATATGCTCTGCTGACTCAGGAACAAACTGGGCTGAGAGAATCCAACTTGGAATACAGTCCTGGCGCTAAAATAGGAACAGAAAAATCTCGGTGTGGAGGCTCGACTCCGCGCCATTAGAAACCGCGGTTTGGATTTCCCGCCGCCGCCCGGCAGCCGGCTACCTCCACAGCGGCTCAGCAAGGAGAGACGCGACCGCCGAGCTCTGGGAACGGGAGTCTCCGAACGGAGTCCCCACGCCATCGGAAACCGCGGTCTAGATTTCCCGCCGCCAGGCGCCCGGCTACCTCCATAGGGGCTCGGCAAGGAGAGACACGCAGAGGCTTGGGAACGGGAATCTGCGAACGGAGTCGGAAACGCGACGGCCAGGGAGGAAGGCTGACTGGTGGCGAGGTGAGCGAGGAACTGACTCCCTACCGCAGTTTGACTCCAGCGGAGGTTTTTCTGGGCGCAGGCAGTACTGTAAGAGCAGGGCGCGGTGGCAACTGCAGCCGCACATTTCCCTCTCGGACGGGATTGGTGAAAGGTGCCTGGCCGGAGGGACGCTGCTCGCGGACTCCCTAGGCTGGCCTAACCCAGATCCCAGAGCCTGACGGTGGCCCGGAGGAGCGACCGACTCCTGCGTAGGCTGCCTCCTCCGCAACTCCCTGGGGCGCAGCGGTGAGCGGGAACAACTAGCCAGCGCAATTTGATCAAGCTGTGGCTGGCAGGCAGGGAAGCCGGGCCTCCTGTGTAAGATTACATTTTATAAGGAACAGAAAATATGGGGAAGGGAAGCAACAAAAAAGGCTCCTCGACCCCCAATCCTGAGAATCAGGCAATTGTGGACACTGCACCATTATACATTAAGCGCCATTTAGAGAGCCTCATAGACCAATTCAGGAATGAAGTTATCAATGACCTGAAGCTAGAAGTATGCAGAATAGTTAGAGAAATGCTAAGCACCACCCAGGAAAAAGCGGATGGTGGAATGGAAGAACAGAAAAAGAGGGGAGAATTGCTTGATGGAGAAAACAGAGAAAGCATTGAGTATGTGAAGCAGGTGCAAAGGGACTATCAAGAAATTAAGAAGTCTACCCAAGACTGGCATAACAGCTTGAAAGAAACTAAGGACAGACTATCTGAATTGGAGGGCAGACTTGAAACATGGGAGAATGAAATGAAAAACTTCTTAAAAATAACAAAGAAACACACAGCAATAATACAAAGACAAGAAGATGATAAGAGGAGCCAAAACTTAAGGATTAAGAACATAAAAGAAGAAGTAGGGACACAAACAAGTGAACTACAAAAGCTACTCACAGAAATAATCCAGGAGAATTTTCTTAATTTAGCAAAAGGTAAAGATACTCAAATGTATGAGGCATACAGGACCCCAGCTACCTACAACCCTAACAGAGAAACACCCAGGCATATAATAATAAAAATTCCAGAAATTCAATACAAGAACAGAATATTAAAAGCTGTAAGAGACAAGAAACAGATCACTTACAAGGGAAGACCCATCAGAATTACAGCAGATTTCTCTTCACAAACCATCAAATCACGAAGAGCATGGGGAGAAATAATTCAAGCTTTGAAAGATAATAATCTACAGCCAAGATTGAGATATCCTGCACAACTGTCCCTGGAAATTGATGGAAACACGAGGTGCTTCCAGGATAAAGAGGAACTGGGGGAATTTGCAACCACCAATTCAACCCTACAGAAAGTATTGCAGGATATTCTAAAAAAAGAAAAATACAAAGAACCCAGAAATAGGGGCGGGGAGGCCACAACGAATGGAGCAGAGAACAAAATGAAGAAGGCAAACTGACAGCTACTGACAGAAAAAGAGCTCAACAGAAATGAGACAGAAGATTGGATGATAGGAACAGCTTTTTTTTGGAGAAAATGACATCAATAGGTAATACTGATTTAGTACCATCTTGTTTTGAAGTCTCATCTAGCTTTTGTTCTTCTGTCTCCAATGGTCTAAACAGGTTGTATCTTATTGGATTTTGTTATGTACGATAGTATAAGAAAAAACCTTTTAAAGACAAGGAGATTATACAGAGACCATTGTTCATTTTCTGTTAGTCGATTCTAAATACTCTATAATGCTGTCATTCTCTTAAATGGATTTACATTGTTTTGATATACTTAATGCTACAGTATATGAAGTTGTACTCAAGGACTTCAGGGAGGGAGTCAATATGGTAACTATTTTTGGGTCAGGATTAGCTGGTGGTGAAACACTATTCTGCTTAAATGGTTATGTTTTGATCTGCCCTGTTTCGCTGTTATGCCCTCCTTTTTCTCAATCTCCACTCCATTATTTACTTTTTTATTTTTATCCATTTAATTAAAGGGAAAAATATAGCAGGATATAATATAGTAACCCACTTTGACTTTCTATTATCTCGATTTGAAGCCCTGTATTACTCTCACCATCTTGTTTTTGACTGAGGTTCCTATATTCTGTTTTGCTGGATAGTATCAGGTTCGAAAGTTTAGACATCAGCTGAGAAGATAATGAGATTCATTATAACGCCCATTCTCGTTGACTTTTATCTACTTTTGAAGACCTACAATATCTCCAATGTTTTGGTTTTGTCGGTTTTATTCTTTACGGTTTTGTTCAATTGTATTACAACTAATGATATAGGCAATTCTATTAGAAATAGCGGGAGGCATTATGGTAACCATTGTTGATCACCTTGTATTATGTTCTTATATTATCTATTATGTCTACCCTTTTGACTTGACCGATTCTGTTCTGTTATGTCACATTTGGTTTTACTCTCTTCCAAAAAAGCAACAAGAACCGTGGGAGCAATGAAACCCAAAATGTGTAATAGTCACTGTACAAAAGAGAGGAAAAGAAAGTGCTCTAAACTATATAACTGCATGTATATTTAAATGTATAAGATAGAAAATGATATCACAGAGTTTTATTGGATCATTGAACAGAACTGTTTGCAGTATCATTGTTGGAATGTCCACTCTACAAGCTTTAATTTTGTGACTTAAACAATTATTTCTAAGATGGCAATATGTAATCCATTAACTAGTGATTTCCTACTGCGCAATTTTTTATTCTGTAAATCTGTATAACTTGTACCCCTTCACTGTTTTTTTTTCCTTTCTTTTCTTTTCTCCTTAAATAAAAATTTAAAAAAAAAATCAGCGGATATGGTGCTTTGTTCTTTTCATGCAGGGGAGCACAGGGTGCTTGGGAAATTTTGTAATTCCACTTGAATTGTGGTGCATCTTTCCTTTTCCTTTTTCTTATTTTTTTATTTTTTGAAAAATAGGAGTGACATTCACAGAGTTCACATTGAACTTTGTAGACCCCTTTGGGTAGCATAGACATTTTAATGATATTAATTCTTCCAGTTCATCAACACAGGACACTTTTCTATTTATTTGTATCTTCCTCAACTTCATCAGTATTTAATGGATTTCTGTGTGTAGAACTTTCATCTCCATGGTTAAGTTTATTGGTTAAATACTCACTTGGTTAAGTACTTTCATGCTACTGTAATCAGGGTTGTTCTCTTCATTTCTTTTTTGTACAGTTCACTGTTAGTGCATAGAAATGCTTCTGATTTTTATATGCAGACTTTGTAATCCACCACTTATTGAGCACATTTATCCATGCTAACAGGCTCCCGTTGGTTTGGTTGCTTGGTTTGCTGGTGGTGATGGAGTTTGAACTCAGGGCCCTCGGGAGGCCAGGCAAATACTTCAGCCCTAGCCACGCCCTGGCCCAGTAGGATTTTTTGGTGGAATCTTTACAAGAAAATTATATCCCACTATTCCTCATGAATATAGATGGCAAAAATTCTCAACATAATACTAACAACCTGGACCAAAGCTGAGTGAAGGTGAAGCTTCTCCTGGGCGATGGGGGAGGGGTCCAGGAGCACACGCTTCCCACTTCTGCTCAGCGCTGCGTGGACTCCAGGCCATGGCGGTGGGCAGGGGAAGAAAGGAAGGAGCGAGGAGCCGCTGTGTGCTGAGGTCGTGGCTTCACATGGAGACCGGCACCGTTTCATCTCCCACACACTGGACTGTATTTGTGCCAAGGGCTTCCTCTCCCGTGTAGATGTCAGTTGTCCGCGCTCTGGGCCATCAGCAGAGGTGTGCTGATTGGGAGTCAGGTGACTTGCGGTGTGCACCCGGCTCCGCTCCTGGGGCTCCTCTGTCGTGTTTGTCTGCCCGTACACCAACGTTCTGGGTGCAACTCGTAAGCCATAGGGGCAGCCCCGGCCCCTCACAGCTCAGTTCCTGCGGACCCTCTGCCCATGCAGGTTTCTGCCCTTTCTTCCATCAGAATCAGGGACCATATTTCCCCACGAATTTGTCCTTCTCATTTATAATTTAGTGATGGTTTAATGATAAAATTTTTTCTCATAATTTAAAATTTATCTGCAACTAACACCAATTTAAATATTAAGACTTTTCTATCAAATACTGCTATTTTTATTTCAGCATATTTAATTTTTGTTAATTCTCTTAGATTTGTCAATGTTTCTATTCTTATAGACCTTGCTGTTTTATTTTATTTTTTCAAATCCATTTTCTTTCAAGGAGAAAAACAAAAAGAAAAAACCAAATGTCAAAACTCATCAATCCGGGGCAGCAATGATACATACATTGTATACTGTCGTCCCCAAATCACTCACCCAGAGCACAGGACATCTGTATTCAGTCGTCTGAACAACACCAGCACAAATCCTTCTCTTGGTGAACTCAGAGAAAGCAGTCATATAACATCACAGACCTTCGTAAAGGGCTTGATTTTGTTCCATTTCCTATTCCTTTTTAACTGGTTAGGTTCTTTGGGGGGAATTTTTATAATTTTCTGAGTCAAAATCTAGTTCTTATCAATCTTGCTTGGCTCCTAGTGTTTGTCTTGAGGACTGAACTTTTCTCTGAACCCTGCTTCACCCAAATGCCCCCGGCTCCGAGGCTTCCGGCTCATTTCCTGAGAGTCTGGGTTCCGCTCAGGAGAGCACCTCGGCCTTCCAGAAGGAAGCTTCCCTCTGCTTGTTACGCGCTCTTCCGGTCTCAGGATGAGATCTGCATAACTCCCTTCTGCCTCTATAGGTAGAATTTTTATTGCAAGATATTTCATCCACTGCCCACCTCGGCACACCCAGCACTGGGCACACCAGCCAGTGTCACAGGGGCAGCCTGTGTGCCCGGGAACCACTATGCAGGTGTCCTACCCGGGATCTGGGGCCATAGTGTTAACAGAGGAGTCTGCAGCCACGAATGTTGCTTTGTGCATTTCAGCCTTTAAATCTGTGTTATTCTATATGTTCCTGCCCACATATGGGACTTCCTTTCATGCCACACTGCTCTTCAGCCCCATGCAGATCTCTTTCCCTGGCTCAGTCCCTCGGCCACTGGCACATGTCCTCTGCGCGGTGCTCTGCGATGCACACCCTCCCCCACAGTGGCCAGGCAGGCGAGTATCAGCATTAGTGCATGTCCAGGGATGCTGCCAGGTGACCTGCAGCTGGCTCGTGTGCTCACCGATGGGTTCCCTTGGAGTGCAGACCAGAGCAAGGACCTCCCAGGGCCGCTTCCCACACTACCAGCTGCTCCAAGCCGGGGGCGCCCTTGGCCATAGCCAGAGCAGCCTGTGCCACGAGACTGGGCAGTCTGCATGTCTTCTTCATTTTAATTCATGCTGCCAGGGATTGAACTCAGGACCTCGCTCCTGCCAGGCAGGTGCTACACCGCTGAGCTAAACCCCTGGCCCTGCATTCTTCTTTCACCACAAATTCCGAATCCAAGCCTCTCATCAGTGTTAACGAAGGTCACCACCGTCAGCTGCCAAACCACCCCGAATGGACATCTCTCTGTGCCTTAAGACCCGGAGCTGTGGCTTCTCATCCTGCCCCTGTCCAGCACACAGTGGCCCCTCCGCCTGCTGGACTCTCACTCCACACATGTTCCCAAGGCACTGTGGCCAGAAGAGCATGCACAGAGGCTTCGGAAGGCTGTGCCCAGCGGGAGTGGACACTGTGCACATTGGAGACTGACTCTGCACTGTGGCCCTCAGTTGCTGCAGGAGGCCGAGCCAGTAGCCCACAATCCCAGAAAGAGAGCCAAAGTGTGAGTCAAGTCCAGGTCACAGGAGTCCCCATGGAGTGTGTTCCAAAGTCTAAGTTCCCAGATGCCAGCCAGGGGTGACCTTGCTTTCTTACACGGCCTCATAGGCTCTCCAGAAAGTTAGCTGAGCCATAAACTCCCAGTGCCCTGTGTCCCCCTGAGGGACATTCCCATGGCCAGTGTGGCAGGCTTCCTGGACACACCCTGTTGAAGGGGCAGAAGTGTGGCCCACGGGGGTGGCCACATTAGTGACCACTGGGCAGCCAAAGGCCGATCATAGGAATGAGCAAGTCAGAGGCATGAGGAGAGAAGTTTATTGGAAGACAGGGCAAAGGCTCAGAGCCTGGAAGAAGAGCTTGGGTCCCCCAGGGCCATGGCAGACGCCTCCTCCAGGTCTGCAGATGACACGGAGGAGCAGACCCACCTGTGTCCCCAGCCCGGTCTGTCTACAGCCAGGACTCCAGGATCACTGATCACTGCGCAGGGAGGGCCAGACTGCTGGATGAGGACATCACACTTAGATGGGGTTGTTCCCAGAGAAGTGGATGGCAGGTGACCACCGCATTCATGGAAAGACTTGGAAGAGGAGACCATGGCCACTGTGAGGATATAGTAAAGAAGCCAGGGAACAGGGTGCAGCAACCTCCCAAGAGTTCTTTCAGCAGCAGGACTTCTGGCCCAAGGAGAGGCCACAGCAGGCGGGGCGGGGGCAGGCGGGGCGGCAGAGCAGTGACACGCTGGAGGATGGGCAGCAGCAGCTGGGCTGGCAGGACGAGGTGCAGCAGGAGGAGGAGGGCAGGCAGCAGGCGGGTCTGCACACGGGGCGGCAGAGCAGGGACACGGAGGAGCAGGAGGGTGTGCAGCAGCTGGGCACACAGCAGGCCGGCTGGCAGGGGGAGCAGGAGCAGCAGGCAGGCTGGCAGCAGGAGGAGGAGCCCCCAGAGCAGACAGGTGTGCAGCACACAGGCTTACAGCACACAGGTGTGCAACAGACAGGTGTGCAGCAGGCAGGTGTGCAGCAGGCAGGTGTACAGCAGACGGGCTTACAGCACACAGGTGTGCAACAGACAGGTGTGCAGCAGGCAGGTGTGCAGCAGGTGGGCACGCAGCAGGAAGACTCGCAGGAGGAGGAGCAGCAGGCTGGCTGGCAGCTCGACTGTTGGCAGCACATGGGTGTGCAGGAGCTGGTGCAGCCTGACTGGCAGCATGGGGTGCAGACCAGGCTCAGGCAGGGGGCCGGGGCGCAGCAGCTGGGCTGGCAGCAGCTGGAGGTGCAGCAGGGGGGCTCGCAGCAGCTCTCTGGGCAGTCGTCCAGCTGCCAGGGCTCGGTGCAAGCGCTGGAACAGACGGACATGGTGGAGGCAGCCATGACTGGTTGCCTGCCTGCTGCCACCCGCTGCCCACTCCCATGCAGCACCCTGAAGCTCACAGCACCCCCTGCATGGCTCCAGCCTGACTTGGTGGCAAGCACGCCTGGGGGCCCTGTCTGCACTGCACTGCCTGACACCCCATAGCTCCATCCCCTGGGACAGCAGTGACCAGTCAGCTGCCACTGCTGGTCCTCAGGGTGCTGCATGGGAGTGAGCCTCCCCCAGGCCTGCTGCCCCTCCTTGAGCTGCCCCGATAGGGCACCGGCTTTGGGCGCCACCAGGAGTGCGGGCCGCGAGAATGCACATGGGCACAGCATCTGTCTGGGCACAGGGAGAGTGCGAACCGACCACAGGACAGCAACCAGCCCCAGTCAGACACCCTCAGAGAAGCAGTCTCTGTGCGAGGAGGAAGTGGCCATGCTGGCCATTCTTATCACCAAGCACACGTGTGTGGGATCCTTTCTCCAGTGTCCTCCTGACTGTATTAGCTGTCATTTTGGTTAGGGCCAACACAGTAATTCTTAATTCTATCACCTTTCACATTGTGAAATGCACAAAGTGCCTAGGACAGACCCTGCCCCTCAGGTGTCCCATCTGCAGCTATCACCTCCCGCTGTGGCCCTAACCTGCCTGTGCTATCTTTGACACAGACCTGCATCCCCTGGACATCCTGGCTGAGGTGATCCCTGTGAATGGTGCTGTGGACAGAATCAAGATGGCGCAGGCGCAGGGCGTGTGGGGACTCCAGCTCTCAGACGCCCCGCCCCGCACAGTGAGCTTCCCTGCCTCAAGGATTTTCTCCAGATGCGACCTCTTCCCTGAGGAGTTTTCCATTGTCATGACCTTGAAGGTTCCTAGCCTTCCGCCCAAGGTCAGTGGCTCTGATTTTCTTTTTGTAATGTTCCCAAGAGCAGTATGTGCAGAGGGCAGGGCTGACTGCAGTGTGGCCAGCAGGCAAGGGTCATTCAAGGTCCTCTGGGCCCCTGGGAAGGAGGGCGCTTGCCTTGTTGTCTTGCTGGGTAACAAGGTGCCCTCGCTGGCAGTGTGCAGGTAGAGTGGGTCACCGTGGGCTGGGGGGTTGCCCTGGTGACTCTGAGTTGTAGGGTGGGTACTTGGAGCTTTTGTGGCTGACACCCCTGGCTGGACTCACTGACCACAAATCAGGGAGGCAGTCTTCCTGGGGTACAGACCCACACCTAATCCTTCTCCTCCCTACTGGCCTGGGAGGCAGAACCAGCGGTGTTGTCTCTGCTTTCCTACACACAGGCGACCCACACGCCACAGAGATGCACTGGTGCACATATACACAAACACACCATGCACACACAGGCAACCACAAAGACGTACACACATAGACACACAGACACTCACACCCACAGACACACACACCCAGCACCACACCATGCATGTAAAGCACGCACAGATGTACACCATAAGCACACAGACACTCAGCTATACACTGACACTATACACATGTGGGTGCACACACACATGCCCACACATACACACAGAAACACGTGAGTCCTGGGATAAGCATGAATTTGTGCCTGGGATTCAGAATGATACTGTGGTGACTCCCCAAGGCTGCCCCACTGGTAGATGCGACCCTGGCACCCTGCTGCCTTCTGTTCCCTCCTCTGTGCCACCGCTGTGAGCTCCTGTCCCATTCTCTGGGTCCCTGCTCTGCAGGTCTGTGGTGCCCACCTCCTTTCCATGAATGCTGACATCAGACCAAGGCCTCCATCTTGGTCATCCCCAAAAGTGGGCTCCAGGATGAGGACAGCCTCATGGTATGGCTGCCCAGAGGCTACAGCCACTGTCTGTGCTTTTCTCATGCTAGGTGACCTCCTAGCAGTTTAGAGTTATAACTCACAGCCGACACAAAGCCAGCCACATAGCATGTTCTGTGTGGCAGTTTAACCTAGTCTTGAACCTAGTCACATGTAGGGTGTTTCCATCACCTCCAAAGAACCCCGCACTCTCTGCCCATCCCCTCACTCCACCTGGCCTTGGCACGAAGCAGCAGCTGATCTACTTCCGCCTTGGTGGGTTTGCCCGCCTGGCATGTGCCAAGCACATGGAATCCTGCGACACACGGTCTTCTGTGGCCACTGATCCTGCCCAGCATGTGTTCTCGGCATCCATCTGTGTGTACCGTGTGTGAGAATTCCAGGCTTTTTATGGACAGGTAGCATCCCAGCCCGAGTATCCACGCCGCTTCGATCTTCCAGTCACCACTGAGGACATTAAACCATTGTGAGCAGGGCCTCTGCGAGCAGCACGCACACATCTTTGTGTGGACGTGTTCCCATTTCCTCAGTGTACACCTAGGAGAGGAATTCCTGGGTCACACAGTGATTCTGCCTCTAACCTTGCAAGACACTGTTCTCCAAGGCGCCTGCAGCCTGCGATCTCCCAGCAGCTGTGTTTTCTCCACCTCGTGGCCTCCCGAGTCATCACCTGACTTTTCTTTCAGCCAGCTTAGTGGGCAGAGCATATCTCGGGGTTCTGATTTGTATTTTCCTGATAAATAATGGGAGGTTACTTTTTGTGTGTGAGAGAGCCATCCGTTTGTCTCCCTTGGAGAACTGTCTTCTTACTTTCCATAGTGTGCAGTTAAATATTGAGTAAAAGCCCCTTACCAGGTACATGATTTCGGAACCCCTGCTCTCATTCTATAGGTTATCTTTTTAACTTTCTTGATAAAGTCCTTTGACGTGTCCACCACTGAATGCATAGCTGTGAGCTTCCCAATTTGATTCTATAGTTGATTTTAGTTGCATCCACCATTTCCAGGCTACATGTTTGGTCTTATCTTTGTTCTCTTGCATTCACGGAGGTTTGTTTCATGGCTGAGCTTCTCTTCTAGCCCAGTCCGTGCTCCCTGTGTGTTTCAGGGGCTGTACCTGCTGGGGCACCTGTGCAGATATTCAGTAGAGTAGATCTCACAGACCCACTGTGTCACCTGAGCCTCCTAGCTTCTTGCTGACCATCTATCTGGGTGTTCTATCCATAGTTAAAATCTGGGTAAGAAATCTTCACCCAATACTGTGGGATCCTCTGTCTCACCTTGGACTTCTGTTGGTTTTTGCCAGTGCAGTTTGGTGCTCTGTTGCTATTTGCATATATGTTTACATTTGTTAGATCATTCTAAAATGTTGATCATTTTATCTAGTTTCCTTATGGTTTCTGTATGCATCTATGTGTCTTTCTATCCTTTTACTTTTTTTTTTTTTTTTTGAGACAGAGTCTCACTAATCAGCTCAAGCTGGTCTTGAACTTACTATACATGCCAGGCTGCCCTCAAGCTCACAGTGATTGTCCTGTTTCAGCCTTTTACATGCTGTAATTACAGAGATGCACCACTATACCTGGCTGATCCAGTTACTTTCAATCTCTTTGCATCTCTGAATCTAAAGAATGTTTATTGTAGATAGCATCTAACTGAATCCTATTTTTAAAAAACCTAGTCTGACAGTCTCTGGCTCTTGATTTAATTATTTGATATATTCACATATAATGGTATTGCTAGATTCGACACGCATCTGTAGGATTGTCTTCGTATATTCACCTGCTTGCTCAACTTGATTTGTAATACCTAAATCAGCACTTAGGGTGCTCTCATGGACATTCGTGAACATGCATGGGATGGTGGAAATATTATTTCCCAGGGCCATGTTACCAGCAGATCTAAACAAAGTGATGCCCCACAGTTCACCTTAGCTCTCAAACTCTAAGTGAGTATCTTTGTTGCAGTGTATCAGGCGCCACAGCTTCTACATTTTTGTGCCTTTTAATTAAAAACTATTTTTGACAATCTTGCTATTTGAATGGCCCCTCGGTGCAGAGATGGAGCTCTGTGCAATGTTCTACAGGGCCAAAACTGTGATGTCCCTCACAGGGACACAGGTATGTTCACCTACTCGGGGGTGAGTCATGATGCTGCTGGCCATGGCCCAATGTTAATGAATAAACAGTAAATATTAAGCTTACTTTGTATTAGTCAGGTTTCTATCACTGTGACAAAACAGCTGAGAAAAGCAACTCAGAGGAAGGATTTGTTTCAGCTCTGTTCGTGGGTTGAGTTCGTGGCTCAGTTTTTTAGGCCTGTGTTGATGCAGCCATCATGGTGGAAGGTGTGGTAGAAGAAAGCTGCTGGCCTTGGGGAAGCCAGGAAGCAGAGAGAGGGAAAGAGCAAGCGTGGGCAGGGAGCAGGGCCAGTGGGGTCCTGGGCAGTCATGCCACTGTGATCCATGCCTTTCAGCTAGGCCCCCCCCTCCTGTTTCTCTCTCCTTCCAATCAGGCCGTCCAATTCCAATCACATCAGTGACTTTAATCTGCTGCACCCTCCTAACCCAATCAGCCCCCAAAGGCCATCAGTTTTCCTTTGGGAACATTGAGACCCAAACCATAACACACATGAATTAAGACACAGTTGAAAAATGGAACCAGGGGCTCAGTGTGTTCACTAGGAACAGTGGAACATATTTGCTAATTCAGCATTTGCAGTGACTTCTGTTTTTATTTGTGTGGCTTTTGGGGTTTTTCACCCAGAGCCTTACTATGTAGCCCAGGTTGGCCTCAAATTTGCAAACCTCCTGCCTTAGCCTCCCAAGTGCTGGGATCACAGGCATGTCCCACTCTGTCCTGCTTGCAGTTATGTAAAATAACTGCCATTCACAATGAAATTCAGTTATTTCCTATGTGTCTCATGTGACTTTTGTCATTTCTCCCTGGTTCCTTTCCTTTGCACTAAGTGAATATATTCTAAGGTAGGGTTCTCATTTCTTTAACAATTTTTTTCACCATTAAATGTTTCTTCAGTGGATGCTCTAGTGCATACCAAAAACTTACTTTAACCTGTCAGAGTCAACTTCAGGTTTGTACTAGCTCAGTTCCAGTGAAATGTAAAAACATGCTCCTGTCTAACATTGATCTCCTTTACCCTTTCAGTGGTCTTGTTGTTATGTGTATTATAAAAACCCAAGAATAGATTGCAATAATTAATATTTTATATAACAATGATTTTTGAAAGAATTCTAGAGAAAAAGGGAGGGCAATGATATAAGTTTTATTATATTAACCTCCTTCTCATCTCTGACTGCCTTCATTTTTCCTGTGGATTTGAACTTCACCTACTGTGGCTTTGCTCCCCACACACCTCCCTTGTGCTCTTATTACCGACTATATTTTTTCCATCTGTTATAGGCCCATCAACACATTTCCTATTCAGCTGTCTTTTTAATAAGGTAAGAGAAGCAGGGGGGGGGGGGAATACACATTTGCACTGTCCTCTAAGTCCCATGGTCCCCTTCGCTGGTGACCTTGGATTCACGTGGGATTTGCCCTTGACCTGACGTCACGCCCTCTCCCTTTGAAGAGTCCCACTGGGTCTCCCACAATGTGTGACCAGCAGCAGGGCCCTTCAGAGTCTGTTTCTCTGGAATATCTATTTTGCCTCTGTTTTTGAAGGATAGCTTGGCTGGGTCCAGGAGTTGTGGCAGACCGTGTTTTTCTGTGAGAATCTGAACATCCATCCTGCTGCCTCCCTGGCCTCCAAGGGTCTAGTGAAAAGCAGCCCTTGTCACCCAGTTCCCTGGTCAATGGCCCATCCTCTTTTTCTGGCTGCTACCAAGATTCCCCCTTGGTTTCGCTCCCGGTCTTTTTACTACAACCTTTCAATTTGTGAATCTTTTCTGTGAATCTCATTCGGGGTTGGTTGAGTTTCCTGAATATATAGATCGCTGCTTTTCCATACGTTTAGAAAATCGTGAACCATTATTTAAAGACTTGTTTCTGCCTTTGCTCATTAGTCCTCCAGCAGAGACCCATCCCCTGCTCAAGGGCAGAGGGATCCCAAAAATCTGGCTCCAGCAAGGACCCAGGAGCCCAATGAACCACCTGCCCATGAGAGACTTGGCAGAATGACCACAGAATGCAGAGACAGAAGGTCACCAGACCCCAGTGAGCCTGAGTCCAGTCCCACAGCTGTAGCATGGGCTGCCACCTCCAGCCATGCAGGTCTTTGCAGGACAAGACCCCAAGGACACCAGACCTGCTCTCTGAGGGTAGCAGCAGCCCCACCACCTCACCGCAGTCTCCTGGCTACAGTGGGGCCAGCCAAGGGCAGAGAACAGGCAGATCTTGCACATGGGGACCCTGGGGGTTCTAAGAACTGGGCTGCAGGCAACGTTGCTGGCATGATGGAGAGAGGAGGAAGCTGTGAGCTTTGCACACACACTCACCATGGAGAGTTCTGAGAAGTGAGACTGGGCAAGAGACAAACAGCATCAGCACCTCATGATCATCTCACTGCACTGGGCCACACCTCTACCCTGGAAAACACAGCCTCACCCTTGCCCCAGGAGTCATCCAGGGCAGAAATGTGCCCTGTGAGCACAGAAAGCAGCAACCTTGACCACACACACACTCTGCACTTGGCCGGGCAGCTGAGCCCAAGCACCACCCCCCTCCTCCAGGTGTGAGCTGCGTGCACGAGAATAGATATTCTGGAAAGGGGCAGCAGTCCTCATTTCCACCATGGATGTGACCAAAGCATCCTGATGTTTCACCCAGGAAAGCCCGACTCAGGATGGACCAGGCCAGCCAGGCTCAAAGCCGGCAGCCGTCAAAACATTGAGCCAGAGACATGAGACCCAGACTGACTCTAAACACAACCAGGAAGAGGAAGGCTTCACTAAGCCACTCCTGGGACAACACAAAGAACCAGAGGGGTATAAAAGCACAGCTGCCAGGACTCAGACTCACACTCACTTACTTATACACACTCACACTCACTCACTCACACTCATCCTCCAGCCCAGCCCACCATGGCCGCCTCCACCATGTCTGTCTGCTCCAGCGCTTGCACCGAGCCCTGGCAGCTGGATGACTGCCCAGAGAGCTGCTGCGAGCCCCCCTGCTGCACCTCCAGCTGCTGCCAGCCCAGCTGCTGCGCCCCGGCCCCCTGCCTGAGCCTGGTCTGCACCCCATGCTGCCAGTCAGGCTGCACCAGCTCCTGCACGCCCACGTGCTGCCAGCAGTCGAGCTGCCAGCCGGCCTGCTGCTCCTCCTCCTGCGAGCCATCCTGCTGCTACTCTTGCCAGCTGTCCTGCTGCACACCTGCCTGCTGCACACCCGTGTGCTGTACACCTGCCTGCTGCACACCTGTGTGTTGCACACCTGTGTGCTGTAAGCCTGTGTGCTGCACACCTGTCTGCTCTGGGGCCTCCTCCTCCTGCTGCCAGCCTGCCTGCTGCTCCTGCTCCCCCTGCCAGCCAGCCTGCTGCGTGCCCAGCTGCTGCACGCCCTCCTGCTCCTCCGTGTCCCTGCTCTGCCGCCCTGTGTGCAGACCCGCCTGCTGCCTGCCCTCCTCCTCCTGCTGTGCCTCGTCCTGCCAGCCCAGCTGCTGCCGCCCATCCTCCTGCGTGTCCCTGCTCTGCCGCCCCGTGTGCAGACCCGCCTGCTGTGGCCTCTCCTTGGGCCAGAAGTCTTGCTGCTGAAGGCCTTGTCCCCCAGGTCCTGCTGGCTCTGATCCCAGGCTGCAGAGTTGCCCGACTCTGACATGCCCCTTCACCCTCAGGCCATTTCTGCCCCAGAGCTCCCACCCCATCCTGCAGGCTGTGCTATGCCCAGGGCTCGGTGGCCCCTGGGCAGCTCCCCAGCACCCTCTGAGCTGCAGCCTCCAAAACCCTCTTCAGCATCCAGACTGAGTGAAGTCGCTGAGTCCTCACCAAAGAATGACAAATAGCAAGCCCCATGTCTTTCCCTGGCCCCTTGCATACCTAGCAAGCCATGCAGAGCTTGGGCACGGCAGGGCTTCACTTTGAGACCCTGCCCTTAAGCTGTGCCCAGGCTGATTATGACATAGAAGGGCCAGCTTCCCCTTCCACGGAGCCCAACTCTCTCAGGGTAATTGTCCCTCCAGTCCCCAGCATGGGCAGCCTCCCTCTTCAGAGTCCCTGATGGTCAGAGACAGGGGAGTCTCCCAGGTCCTGCATAGAGCTTGCTGCCCCGTATCCTGGCCCAGGCCCTCTGCATGCCCTCACTGCCAGTACCTGCACCCCAGCCAGCTCTCCCGCACCCCTCGCCCCTTCTTCTGTCCTCTCTGCCTCTGCCCACCTTCTCTGTTATCCAAAAAATAAATGTTCTCACCCAGAAGACACAGCTGCTCTCCTGTTTCTTGACTATCTGAGGATGTTTGCTTTGTGACCTCTGTGTGGATTTCCACCTGAAAACCCGCGGCTTGCTTTTGTTTTCTGGAGTTTCTGCCGTCCTTGCTCCTGGCCTTGTTTCCTTGTGTGCTGCGTTACTTTAGCCAAGGAATCGTCCTTGCCTTGCGAGGGTGTTGGCGTGCTGCCCCTATCTTGGGCTCCGTCCTTGGCCTCTGGCGAGTTATTCAGTGTCCAGTGGAGTGTGCCAGCCCGGCAGATGTCCTTCAGGACAAGCGACTTCTAAGTTTTGCTCAAGGACCCAGATGAAAGCAGGAGACTTTAGCTCAGGGACCACAACCCAGTAGAAGGGAAAAGGTTACAACTTTATTCGCACAAACTTTTCACCAAATCTAGCCCTGGGAGTGTTCCCAGAACTGGAGGCTTATCACAGACAGGTCCGACAGTAAATCCCATTTCACGGTCACCATCTTTTTCTTAGGCCGAGTTTTAGTTCACAACAAACACATTCATTGTGGGCGGCTGGAACATAACACATTTTAACTCTTTTCCTGTCTCCTTCCCCCTCCTTCTACCACAAGCCTGCAGAGTGTCGTTCTCTCAGGCTAGCCCTAATCAGCCCCTCGGAAGGCCAGCCCCAACCCTACACACACACACACACACACACACACACGCCTCTAGTGGGCACTTCTCAGACCCTCCATGCTCTTGGTCCCAGTGTACTGGCAGCATCACCATCCTAGACTTGGGCCTCATCCCCCTCACCGAGTCTGACCAGCAGTGTCACTACACTACAGGTGTTACTACACCTCCGCTGCCCTCACTGACTCTCTGTGTTGATAGCACACAGGGTGGGAGGAGTGGAGGCCTGGTCCCGGCTCTGGACACTGACCCTTGCGCCCTTTTCAGCTGCATGTGTCCTGGACACCCCCATCCCTTCATTCTGTGCCTGCTTTCAGCCCCTGGCCAGCTCTGCTGGTCTAAAGAGGCCCGAGAACCATCCCATGGGCACCAGCTGGCACTGGCCAGCACGCTGATCCCATGCCCCAGGAGCCAGCAGTCATGGGGCGACTTGGCCACAGCTGAGCTGGAGCTGGGAGACCAGGGAGACCCTGGCCTCAGCTGGCCCAGGCCCAAGGGTGCCCCACGGCAAATGACAGGTGTTCTGTACTGTCGTCCATGAGCTCCAGCCACCCTACATCCACCACACACAGGACAAAATGTGGCTTTGGAGCGCCCACCTGCAGGTAGGGTGGGGGTGGTGGCAGAATCCCAGGATGGTGAGAGAACAGGTCCGTGGCATGGGGGGTCCATGGCATGTCCAGGTGTGACCAGGCAGGCTGCCCTGTCCCTAGGTACAGGGGCAGGTCAAAGCCACAGCCAGGTAACAGTCACTGTGTCGCCCACATGAGGTCCCAAGCATGTTTCACGATGTGGGGCATCGCTGCCCATGTCACACGAACCTCCGTGTCCTCTCTTTGCCATCTGAGCAGAGAACTCACGTCACTGTGGTCACCTTTGCCACATAGCTCTCCACAGTGACTCGGGCAACACTGAGAGGCAACATGGAAATTGTTTTGACTCTTACAAGTGACACCGTGACAAGTGGCCCCACTGTTAGTGTGCATGACCCCAAAGCTTCACGTACTCACAAGCAGGGCTTGTGAGAGGTGGTCGAATTATGGGGCTCACAGATAACTTGCTGTTGAGAGGTGGGGTCTGGCCAGAAGAGGAGGCACCATGAGGTGAGCAGCTTTTCGTCCACTGTGACCCTCTGCCATGTCGCCTTGTCTTGGAGCCAGTCAACTATGGACCAAACCCTCTATGACCATGAGCCAAGATGAACCTCTCCTCATTTAAGCTGTGGGTGTTGTATACTGTGTTTCAGTGACCAGAAAGTATCTATGACAGATTTTGGCAATGGAAAAGTGGTATCGTGGCTGTGACTATACCTGACCGTATGGTGCAGATGCTTTTGGAACCAGTTCAAGAGAGGAGTTTGGAAAGATTTGAAGATGCCACTTGGAGATGCCCTGGAATGCTGTAAACTGAGCTTATGAGAGATTCTGGCCAGAGCTCAGAAGAAATGCAGGCAGTAAAGGCCAGAATCGAATTTGGGTTGGAAACAAGGACACCATTTTTGTCTGTGTGTGTGTGTGAGTGTGTGTGTGTGTGAGTGTGTGTGTGTATGTGTGTGTGTGTGTGTGCATGCCAGAGATTGAATTCATGACTTTGGGCTTGCCAGGCAAGTGCTGTGCCACTGAACTAAATCCCTGACCCACACCATTGGTTTTTTTTAACTCATGATCATGTGTATTATGCTCTGATCAAAAAAAAAAAAATCTGTCCACATTTTGCTCATGTCCTGAGGTTTTGTGGGTAACCACAGTGAAAGGCAGCAGGACAGTTAGCCTGGTACGGGAGATTCCAAGGCAGCCCAACGCTCAGCCTCTGACAGCGTCACTGTCAGACACTTCAGCCAGCTCTACACTGAGAATCAGGAGCAGCCACATGACTGCATGACCCAGAAGGTTTTGAATTTCATCAGAAGGTAAACTTCTGTAAAGTGGGGCTTGTAAAATGGAAGCAGAGGAGAACTTAGTTGCTGAGAATCTTAGAATTAAACAGAAGAGAGGTTCTTTGAATTGGTGTAATAGGAAGGGTGCCTTGAGGGCATCAGGGGAAACAGCAAGACCCTACCCACCAACCTACAAAAGTAAAAAACTCTGAGAAGAGAGCCCTGAGGCAACATGTTGGAGAAGGCCTCATGGGGAATTTGTTCCCTGGGATTGGGTTCATATGCTCTGTAGCCAGGCACTCAGAGACATCTGCAGCTACGATCCAAGGGGGCCCAGCTACTACACAAGAGTGGTGCAGACCTTGGCATTGTGCATGTAGTACTGGTTTTATGGGTATTCAGAATGCAAGAGTTTTGAAGTCATGGCGGCTTTCACCCAGATTTCATCCTTCTTTTCTCATTTTTAAAAATTTCTTTTCCTTCCTTTCCCTCTATCCTTCTATTTCCCCTTTCTTTCTGAACAATTTCTTCCCTTTTCATTGTATTTCTTGTATGATTTGGTTCTTACACTTTCAGTTTCTCACACCAGTGAGACAATTTGATATTTATACATGTGTGTTTGATTTATTTCACTTAAAAGTATGGTCTCTAGGTCCATTCATTTAGCAATAAACATCTCAAGTTGATCCTTCTTTTAGGAAGAGTAGTACTCCATTATACTATAAAACATCTTTTTATCCATTCATCTGTTGACAGGCATCCAATATTTAGCTATAACAAACTGTGCTGCTATGGACACGACACCAGGATTTCAGAAACCTGGGGCTGCCAGGTGTGGTGGCGCACACCTGTAATCCCAACACTTGAGAGGCTGAGGCAAAAGGATCACTGTGAGTTTGAGGCCAGCCTGGGCTACATAAGCAAGTTCAAGGCCTGCCTGCACTGCATAGTGAGACCCTGTCTCGAAAATGATAAAAATAATTTCTAGCAGAAGAAGCCAAGGAGGCCAAGCAGTGTCCCTGTGATAGGGCAGAGGAGAAGTTGTGACAGCAAAGCAGGGGGGGCAGTGGGGACTCCAACAAGTGGTGAAGCCATGAGCTTGTAGCTTTCTGGGGAGACGTGGGCTATGGGAACCACACTTTTCTGGGGAAGCTGCAGGTGAGCAAAACCAGGCTAAGAGAGAAGCCACGAGAACTACAGCCACCAGAAATGGTGTAGACACAAGGCCAACAAAGCCATGTGGAGCTCGCTGCTCATTGCTATGATGCGCCCTGGAACTGGGCAGGGCTGCTGGACTTAGAGTTTGCCCTGCTGTGTTTGGTCGTGGTTTGGCCCCTGTTGTTTTTTATCCTCCTATTTCTCCTGTTTGGAATGGAACTGCTTACCCTTTAACAATGTATCTGGAAAGTGTTTAGCATTCTTCTTGATTTTTAGAAGATGATAGTTAACAGTTTGCCTTATGTCTCAAGGGGGCTCTGACTTGGACTTTTCAGTCCAAGTCCAATGTTGAAACCGTTGAGACTTTGGAAACTTAGAGATGAGTGAAGCAAGTTTTGCATAAAGAATGTGTTGGGCTAGGGATTCAGCTCAGTGGCACAAGCACCTGCAGGCAAGCGTGCAGTGGTGAGTTCAATAATCCCCGGTACCAAAAAAAAAAAAAAAAAAAAAAAAAAGAATGTGTATAAGTCTTTGGGCCCAGGAGAAAAATGTTATGATTTTTATGATTTATGTATGGATGTTCCTATAAACCTCATCAACTCAAATGGGGCTGTTGGGTTGTGGAGCGGCCTGGCCAACTTGCTGTTGGAAGGGGGCATTGGTTAGAAGAGGTGGGTAACTGGGTGTGAGCTAACTGCTCTCTTGGTCTCGGTCTCTCTCTCCCTCTCCTTTCTGGTCACGATGTGGACAGCATCTTTTCCTCCACCATTCCCCCCTGCGGTGCTGCCCTGTGCTGGAGCCAGCTGAGATAAAACCTTGATACACTGTTACTCCAAATAGACGCCTTCTCT